AAAGAAAGATGCAGGACATTCCTGGCTGGAAGAGAAACACATAAATAACCTAAAATCAGAGTGTGACCTCTCAGGGCATTGGAGGCATGTGTGACTGGTGTGAAAAGGTGACTCTAGAGACACTGGGAACCAGTTAAGGAGCTCAGACACAGTGCTGTGCCCAGGGCCATCGAGGCGCTCCAAGCAGAGCCCTGCCAAGAGCTTGTCCACGGTGGGGACAGATGTGCAGCTTAATGTCCTACACAACTGTATCCACCAAACTAGGGACCCAGATCATGTCCAATGCTCCAGTGCACAGAGCCGCAGGTCTCTGCATGTCAGTTGAGGTGGGGACCTAGAACGTGGGGCTCAANCCGGGCCTTAGCACATGCTGTTCCTTCCACCTGGAACACTCTTCTCCCCACCTCCCTTGGGGCACAGCACCTCTTTGTTCTTTGGGCCTTGGTTCGGCTCACTCCTTCCAAGAAGTCCTTGCTCTGACTCCACTTCCTGGGTAACATCTCTACTGTGTGGTGTGGCATCTTCTGGTTTGTGCCTTCACACATCTCATCCAAGTTATAGGCATTAGCATTAACCTGCTGGTATTTGCCTTCCTTTTGGACTTTTACCAGATGGTAAAAGAATCTGCCTGCAATGTGGGAGAGCGGGGTTTGATCCTGGGTCGGGAAGATCCCCTGTAGAAGGAACTGGCAACCCATTCCAGTATTTTTGCCTGAAGAATCCCATGGACAGAGGAGCTTGATGGACTACAGTCCATGAGGTTACAGAGTCAGACACAACTGAGCAACTCTCACACACACACACACACACACACTCACACACTCACTCACACACGCACACCTCATGAAGTGGCAGTTGTCAGTTTATGTGACTGTTTCTCCCGGCTGGCTGAGCACACTGCAGAGAGGGCAGGCATTGTGTCTTACTGATCTTTGCATCCTAGCACCTAGAACCATGCCTGGCATATGTTCAGTTCTCTCCATAGAAATGTTGGTGGGATGGATGGGTAGATGAAAGGATGACTGGAGAGAGATTAGATGAGTGGGTGGGTGGATGGATGGATGGATGAGTGGGTGACTGGTGAATGGATGGAAACAAGGGTAAGATGGGTGGGTGTGTTCTAGAATGTTCTCAAGGCAGGATACTGGTTTCCATGACTCTTGTCGGCCATGGCCCTTCCATGAGGAATTTCCTCACCAGTCCTCTTAAAGAGGAGGCAGGAATCCTCATCCCCTAGATGCTAATCCTTGAAACAGTACCGTTCAGTCCTGCCCGCAAAGCGGCTCTTTCACTGAGGATGTGGTGTGGGTTTAGGGGAAGGGGACGTGTGAGTCACAATGTTGGCTCAGGCTGTGTGACTCACGGTGAGTTATGTGCCCTTTATGGGCCTTCACTGTCCCACCTATCAAACTAGGGGCCAAGGATAGATGTCTCTTCAAATACAAAAGTTCCAATTTTGGTGTAATATTTAAAAACACTTCACGAGTTCGGTACATTTTATAGAGTACATTTCCTACTGTTGTCACAAAAACATCAAATGATGCCCAACCATGCAAATGAAAAAAGGCTCATCATGTTTGTTTGTTATACTTTATATTAAAAATAGTTCATTCTCAAACACTGTGTTCTTGAAAAATAAAAATGTACACCCCATCTCCATGGGAGAGTCCATGGCCAGTTTATAACATTGAAGTCTTGCCATCACGCTTCCAGCTCCAGGTCTCTGTATCTGTTCCTTCCTGCAGACCCTGTGATTTAGGACAGTCACTACCTCTGCTGGGGTCGGGGCAGTGACTCAAAGAGGCCTGAGAGTGAATTGCTCTGCCATTGTTACAGATGGCCTGGACATTTGCACATCATCTGACGTGACCTGAAGCCACGAACACTGGCTTCTGACGACCATGTCCTGTTTGTTTCAAAGATCTTGCTTCAAGCAAAGGCAGCGTGACCAAGCTGGAAGACCTTCAAAAGCCAGCCCCTTCTCTGGCCTTCAGTGACAAGCCTCAGGACACCCCACTTGCCATGAGAAACAGGATAAACCCAAGCCAGGGAAAGCTCAGCCTTTATTCACTGGTGCTGCCCTGGGTCTATGATGTCCTGGGCACTGTCTTCAGTCCGTGAAACCAGTCTAGCTGTGTGGACAAGCAAACAGGAGCACTGAAGAGTTGCAAATGCTATCTATGATCAGTATGAGCCTGGATTTTTGCAGGAATGGTTAAGGGGTGACTTTGAAAAATGCTTGGAAAATGGGACTTCCCTCGTAGCTCAGTTGGAAAAGAATCGGCCTGCGGTTCAGGAGTCCACCTGCAATGCAGGAGTCTTGGGTTTGATTCTTGAGTTGGTAAGATCCCCTGGAGAAGGAAATGGCAACCCCACTCCAGTATTCTTGCCTGTGAAATCCCATGGATAGAGGAACCTGGCAGGCTAGTCCATGGGGTCGCAACTGTCAGATATGACTTAGCAACTAAACCACCACAGGAAAATGCTATCAAGGTTTTCTACAACTTTGTTGACGAGGAGGTAAGGGCAATCTTGGGGGATTAGAGATGGAAATCAGATTGTGTACAGTATTTGGGTCCTTCCCTAAAGATTTGAAGAGGCCTCACAAACCTTCAAGTGCAGAGGAATCACCTGCAGAGTCACGAGAGGTGGATATGGCTTCAGTAGGACTGAGTTGGGGCTGAGGTTCTGTAAAGTGGAAAGTGCGGGAGGGGAGCAGTGGTGGGTTGGGAGGCGGTAGCGAGGCAGACAAGCATGCGCAATGAGAGGCTCAGGGTGGAGAGGCTTGTGAGCTTGCGTCAGGACAGTCCCAGCGAGTACAGGCAGCCAGCCGAAGGATGTGTTCCCAACCGCACTTTCACAGGTCAGGTGTCTTTCTTGATCTCCACTGGCCTGAACCGAATCTTGATCATCTCCCCACGCTTAATTGTGCCCAGAACCTCTTGGTACAAGAGCCATTCTGAGATGGTCTCCCCTTCTCAGCAATGGGCCTGACATTGGCCGTTACTCCCAGGAGCTAAAAGTGGAGGGGAACATTCCGAGACATTCTCCCCTCACGGGGACCTGCAACCCTCAGGCACACAGAGAATGTTCTGGCCGAAGTCTCCCCCATTTGGTCCCTCTAGCTCTCTGCGGTGAGGACCAGACTTCAACAAGCAAGGAAAGTGTGGTTCAAAGGAGTTTTTCTTTACTTGTTTGTATCACCAGTACAAGACAGAGATGCCAGCCGAACACAGTCCCAGATGGGCCTTCTTCCTACATGCTGGAAGCTTCTCTTCTGTAAGCCTGACAGGGAGCCCAGCTCCAGCTAAGGGACCCCGGTATGTGCAGTCCAGCTGTCCTTTCGAGGCTTAGAATAAAGACTGCTTTATCTGGATGCTCACTCCTTTTAATGTTCAATCCCCTTTCTTGAATGAAATAACGGCAGACAATCGTTTGTGTGTGCTGATTTACAGTGACTTTGGCATGACTTGGAAACCATGTTAGTCCCACACTCTGGAGATTTAGCTCATGGCTGCATGATGCCCAGGAATCTGGGAACCACCCCCCTCCCCAGTTCTGGGGAGGCCAGTTCTGCCTCCCCGAGGGCACTACCCCCATTTCCTATCCTGTCCTCTCTGTAAACCCCTCCAAAGTGGGGTTGCCTCGCACCATCTGAAGTTAAGCTTAAAAAAGACAGTAGTGGTTTTCAGGGTCCTGATGGTCATAGACACTTTGCAATTTTTCTGCAAGTTCATCACATTTCATTTTTTTCCCCCAAAAAGTTGGGCAGTGGCAGTTATACAGGATACTGGTGTTAACTGTGGACTTCACTGTCCTGAGGAGACCCCCACAAGAGCCATTCTGAGATGGTCTCCCCTTCTCAGCAATGGGCCTGACATTGGCCGTTACTCCCAGGAGCTAAAAGTGGAGGGGAACATTCCGAGACATTCTCCCCTCACGGGGACCTGCAACCCTCAGGCACACACAGAATGTTCTGGCCGAAGTCTCCCCCATTTGGTCCCTCTAGCTCTCTGCGGTGAGGACCAGACTTCGACAAGCAAGGAAAGTGTGGTTCAAAGGAGTTTTTCTTTACTTGTATCACCAGTACAAGGCAGAGATGCCAGCCGAACACAGCCCCAGATGGGCCTTCTTCCTACATGCTGGAAGCTTCTCTTCTGTAAGCCTGACAGGGAGCCCAGCTCCAGCTAAGGGACCCCGGTATGTGCAGTCCAGCTGTCCTTTCGAGGCTTAGAATAAAGACTGCTTTATCTGGATGCTCACTCCTTTTAATGTTCAATCCCCTTTCTTGAATGAAATAACGGCAGACAATCGTTTGTGTGTGCTGATTTACAGTGACTTTGGCATGACTTGGAAACCATGTTAGTCCCACACTCTGGAGATTTAGCTCATGGCTGCATGATGCCCAGGAACCTGGGAACCACCCCCCTCCCCAGTTCTGGGGAGGCCAGTTCTGCTTCCCCGAGGGCACTACCCCCATTTCCTATCCTGTCCTCTCTGTAAACCCCTCCAAAGTGGGGTTGCCTCGCACCATCTGAAGTTAAGCTTAAAAAAGACAGTAGTGGTTTTCAGGGTCCTGATGGTCATAGACACTTTGCAATTTTTCTGCAAGTTCATCACATTTCATTTTTTTCCCCCAAAAAGTTGGGCAGTGGCAGTTATACAGGATACTGGTGTTAACTGTGGACTTCACTGTCCTGAGGAGACCCCCCTGCCCCACCCCACCTTAAACTGGGGAGACAGCGCAGGGCTGGGGTCATGAAAACACTGCCTTTTTAACTGTCCCGCACGATCACTTTCTAGGAGCAGGGGCAGCATGGGAATGCTTTAAAAAAGCAGTGCTCACATTTACGGATGACAAGCGAAGTCACCCAGGACATGGGCTGACAGCACCCCACCCCTCTTCTTGGGGGTGTGTGGGGAGGGGGCGGAGAATGGAGAAAAACTACTGGGTGGGAGGGCAGGGGGAGGAGGAAGAATTAAAACACAACAATCAAACCAACCTTTAAATAGTAACTTTTAAAAATATAAAAACAGGTCATTACAATGACTTTTTCATTTTCTTTTTTTCTTCAGGAATCAACTTGTCTTCTACCCTTGCCTTCCCTTGCGGCAAGAGCCTTAACAACAGGTGGTGGCTAAGCATCTGAGACCCAGAGAGAGACTGAGAGACAGGAAGAGAGACAGACTCTGGACACCCCTCCCCAACCTCAGAAAGTTAAGGGCACCCACCTTGCCCTTCTCTTCGGCCTCCGGAGCCAGGTAGGAGGGGGAGGGGCTCACCTGGGAGCAAGAGCATTGGAGAGAGGTTCACTGGGAAACCCCCTCCCTTCTCACCAGACAGAATCACACATTATAAAATAAGCCATAAAAATGCAGTATAAAAATTATCTTCCATATGCTACATCCATGGAGAGCCCACCACCAGGACTCATAACGGCCTTTAGCTTTTCCTTAGAAGAAAAAAAAAAAAAAAGACCAAAGGAAAAACAAAACAAAAAACAAAATCCTAATACCTCAGAACATTTTGGTACCAAAAAGTGGCACTGCAGGAGCTGATATTCTACCTGTAAGCTGTTTGGGCTCCTAAGAGAGACAGGAAGCCAGGAGAAGTCAGCACGGTGCACCCCCAGCGGAACCCCTTAGACTCCATCCTGCAGGTTAAAATACACGTTTTCCCTCTAAGGAGAGAGTAAGGGGTCAGAGGCAGGAAAGTGGGGAGAAGGCATTTTATGAAAGGACATCGCTTCTAATTCTTTTTATTCAAATTAAAAAAAAAAAAAAAAAAAAAGCACCCACATCAGTTGCTATTTTTTTCTCTGGTAGCTCCCTGAGCTGAGTTGCTATGCGTTCCTCTAACTTTGTGTCCTTTTCAGGCAGGTTGTGTCCGAAGATTAAGTAGGGCTGGAGCCTTTGAACTTCCATTTCTCATCACGACAACCAAGTGTGCACCAAAGAGAGATGGAGGTGGGGGGTGTGGAGGGGGAGACAGATAGACGGACAGGCTCAGACGCCTGAGAGAGGGACCAAGAGGCTAATTAAGAGGCAGGTGGGACTCGGGAGGCCACAGAAAAATTCACCGTTGTTTCTGCTGCCATCAGCCTGGACGGGCACCCATCTCAAGCTCTGCCTGTCCGTCAGTCTGTCTGGAGCTAGGTCCTGACATGCCTTAAGACGATCCCCAGGTCCACATGGAGACACGCTCACCCAGGGGGTACCTGATGGCTGACCTGGCTGCCTCCTCCACCCAGGCGTCTTCTCCCTCTGCCACTCCCTCTTCATTCTGCCCGCTCCCTGCCTCCCCTCCCCAGATGGGAACTTCTGTTTAAAAAAAAAAAAAAAACAAAGCCACCACCACGAGTGGATTACAAATACAGCAGGCGAAATACACGGCTGGCACTGCCGGTGGGAAGGGGCCTCCTCCCCCGCTGACCAGTCCGAGACAGGAGTCTGTTATTTACACTTTTCACAAACCTTTAGCGCTGCACAGTCGGGGACGTGAAACCCTCCCCCGCTCCCTGGTACAAACGTGTGGTCCACGCTCCAGTGTCCCCGAGGCGGGGCAGGGGGACACATCAAAAGAAAGGGCAAGGAGAGAGATTCACAAGGGTGTATGTGGAGAGCCGGAGCCATGAGCCTCCAAATAAATCTATGTGCAGCCTCTGCCAGCATCGTGACGGAAGGAGGAGGGGAGAAATCCATCGGAGTCCGTGAGACACAAGAGTCCAGGCCCAGGAGCCCCGGCTGCGACAGGCACGCCCTCTCAGCCCGCCGGAGCGTGGAGCTGGGCCGCTGGCTGCCCATCCTCTGTGTCTGCGGGGTCTCCCTGGCACAGCCGAGTCTGTGTCTCCCAGAGCGTGACAGCCCCATCACAGTCCTTGCTTAGTAGATGACCTCATAAACCGTGGCCTTCTTGTCACCAGAGCCTGTTACAATATATTTGTCATCCGCCGAAATGTCACAGCTCAAGACCGACGAGGATTCCTTAGACTGGAAGAGGAGAGAGAAAGGACAGAAACTCACTTTTTGGGTACTCAGCACTCTCTCGGTGCTCTCTGAATTCACCTGCCCTCTGCCCAGCCTGGAGCGCACGCTGCAAGGCCTTCAAACACAGCCCTTCCCATTAAGAGGGGCCCCTTCTACCTGCTTCCCCATAAGGAAAAGTTCATTAACTGGGCCAGATGTGATCTTTACAGTCAGCTCCGAGCAACAAAACAGAGCACTTGAGTGTTAGCTTTGCATCCTGAATTTATAAACAGGAAGAAGCGTTTCTGAGCTGGGAGCTGGTGTCAGTGGGCCAGGCCCTCAGTCTGGTGAGCTAAAAAAAAGGACTTGCACTTAAATTTTGAGCATCCAGTGTAACCAGAGACTGTTGAAAGTTATTATGTGTGATGCACCAGATGCCAGACTTCCAGACTGCATTAAGAGTGTCTTACTGACTGACACCTCCTTCAGGATCCTTCTGGATCCTTCTCCGGCCCCATACCTCAACTTACTTGAAACCAGATAACATAGCTCAGAAAAAAAAAAAAAGCTGCCCAGTTTGCTCAAATGCCTGGTGCACCTCCTGAGTGAGGGCTCAGCGTGCAGGCCAGAGCCAAGAGCATGTTTTTATTCCTCCTTGCTCTAGAAATCCTACAAGAGCCCCTGCTAAAAGCCCTCGCCCCAATCGGTCAGACGCCACTAGCAGCAGAGTATGCGTCCCGCTGATGTGCCCAAGTCCAAAACCTAGCTGCTGAGAAGCCGTCTTGGACCCCCAGCAGGTGGGGGTCAGGGCAAGTCCTGCTCTGCCTCCCCTATCCCTGCCCCATCACCATGGCCAGGCCCAGACTCTCAGCAGAATCAAGAGGGGCACTTGGAGGGCAGGTAGTACCTGGAATATGCTGGCTCCATAGGGAGTCCTCCAGGCGTTGAGAAGGTTATCTTTCCCAGTGCTCACAAACCACTTGCCTGCAGGCAAAGGAAACATCAGGTTGTGGGCTGCTGCCCTCTAAAGCAAGACCCACCCCACACATGGCCAGCTACCATGGAAACGCGGTGCGACCCACTAACCAGCGCTGGGCTGACTCTTCCCTTGTAAGAAGCATTTTGTAATCAAGACACCCACCCCCCCTACCCCACCACACACACACACAGACACACGGACACTCAGATACTGCCTTTCTCTGCAATCAGAGGGAGGGGTGGACAGGCTGGGACAGAGAAAGGCAGGATCTGCAGTTAATCATAGGGATTACACTTCCCCAGAAGATTCTTTTTAAAGCCACTAAGCTCAACTGACCCATCTTGATTCTACTACTGAAAGATGGCAGGAGGTACTGGGGATGGCGAAGCTCCAAGCGGCTGGAGATCCAGCCAAAGGCGGGGGGTCTCTGCAGGCATGTCATCAGATCTTTGCCTGCATTAAAGCTCCAGGGCTCCCGAAGCCCTGGGGGGGTGCCTGCTATTCCTGGTCCATAAAAACCTGTTGGGGCTCAGAGAGGCTGGGACCGTCCTCAGCTGCACAGCTAGTCAGGGGGCCGGCACATCCTCCAGTCCAGAGCTGTGCCCACCATGGTCCAAACCACCTGGAAGTACTGCCCGTAGGGCTGGGCATACTACCCCTCTGCTCCTGGCCAGCAAGGTCTGGCTCTGGCCTGGCATCACAGGTGCCTGGTACCCTGTGGCAGTATCTGCATCCTCAGATGTGGGGTGGTCTCGGTCAGGAGCCTGGTGCTGAGACTGTGCTCACTTGGGGGGCTCCGGCCCTCGTCTGAGCTCTGAGCTGCCTCTCTGCACAGAGGGCCGGCCAGGCCCCTGGTACCCTGTGGCAGTATCTGCATCCTCAGATGATTACTGACTCCCTCCCCCAGCACCTCCCCACCTGTCATGTGCAATGCCAAGTCCCCCTCTCTCCCCCTCCAGGGAATAGTGTTTTATCCCCAGTCAACTTCCCAGGTGAGGAAGCTGAGGCTCAGAGAGGTTGCTGACTCTGGAAATAAAGTGGCAGAGCCAGGATTCAAACTCAGAGATGACACAGATATTTCACTTTCAAAGTTCTTCTCTGTCTCAGTGACTTTTACCTTTCCTTAAGAAAAATATGAGTAAATAAAACACTAATGTATTAAACATGCAAGATTAAAACATTAACACAAATAATACAATAACAAAAAGTAATACCTAGCATGTATAGAATGCTTTCTATAGGCTTATAGCCAAGGCTTTCAGAGGGACCATTTCAGGTGCTCACACCAGAGCCATGAGGTAGCTATGACTATTCCCATCCCGTGAATGAGAAAACTGAGGCCAAATGCTCGATGGCAGAAGAGCTGGGAGTCACGTCTGAGCAGCAGGGGCAAGTCGACCGACTCCAAAGCCTTGTGGATTCTATTTCATGGCACTTCCTCCAGGAAGCCTTCCCAGATGACTCAGGTTGGTCTCAGGTCCACTTGTAATGGTTACGCGTGAGGACCCCTTGGTCCCCCGAACCAGCCACTGAGACCCGGGAGGGAGGCCCCACGCTGCTCCAGCGGACGGGGAGGGGCTCAGGCGCGCACCTGGGAGGTGAAGTCGTGCTGCTGCAGCTGCCGGCCCTCCCGCAGGTCCCAGGAGCGCACGGTGTTGTCCAGGCCTCCCGTCCACAGCTTGGTGCCGTCATGGGAGATGTCTATGCAGCTGGCCCCGTCCGTGTGGCCCTGGAACTGCCTAGGAAGGCCAGGCAGGGGTGAGGGCAAGCCCCAGGGAAGCACTGACTGCTATGTTGACAGCTGTCCCAGGGAGATGCCAACTGTGTCCCAGCAAAACAGTAAACTGTGCTCCACGGTCCCCCAGGGCTCCTTTCAGACTCCACTCGAGCATCTCGGCTAGGGCCGGGACTTGCACGAGGTCACAGGGAGGCAGGACTCAGACCCAGCAGCTTTGCTCCCGAGGCCCCACACTTAAGCTCCTCCATTCCGGTCTGGACGCCTCTTCTTCTCCCCACGTCTCTCCGAGTCTCAACTTATCTGAGAGTTCTGCCCTCCCAGGTCTGCTCCAGGACCCCTCTCCCCAGAGCTTTGTGCAAGCTCCTGATCCACAGAGCCCTCCCTCCTCTGCCTGTGCTAGGCACCTGGCACAAGCCATCATTTCACCTGGGAGCCCTTGCCTGTGCCATCCAGGCCATCATTTCACCTGGGAGCCCTTGCCTGTGCCATCCTGGCCACACCCCAGCACCTCAGACAGGCCAGTCACAGCCACGATGCCAAACACAACCAGCACGGCCTTCCCAGAATGAGGACCCCCACTCCCTCCCGTGCCTCACCTGACCAGGGTCTGGTTGTGCAGGTCCCACACGGCGATGTTGCCGTCACTACAGCAGGAGAAGCAGACTTTGGCATCAGGGCTGATGGCCAGGGCGTAGCAGGCCGGAGCCGAGGACGTCAACTCAGCCTTGATGCGTGGCGTGGGGGAGGCCAGGTCCCAGATAGTGAGCGTGCTGGCCTCGCCGCCCACGATGAGCGTGCGCCCGTCAGGGAGCAGCTTGCAAGAGCGGATGTAGTTGTCCCTGTTCTGAAGGGGGAGGGGGCAGTGTTCAGCACCACCCACCTCTCCTCCCGGGGAACTGGGAGAGTCACGTCCAGCAACACCGAGCACCCTCGCCACGTCTGCTCACTTCTTGCCCTTATTCGCGGCCACCAGGCTGACCCCACTGCTCACTCGTGACTTTAAACTTTCATTTCTTCACAAACCCCTGGAGACCAGCATCATCTCCCCTTACAATGAAAGCAGGGCTCAGAGAGATCTGCCAGGTTGCCCAAAGCCTCCCAGTAGATACAGGGCTGCCCCTGGCCAGGTCAGTGGGGCACCACCCCAGGCCCCAGCTGCCCTGCTCTTCTATAGCAGCTAGAAGGGATGCCCGCTCTCCTGTAACAGCTAGAAGGGATGCCCATGGCCCCGGGATCCTCACCAGGCAGTCCAGCTGGGAGATGGGGCTCTTGCTCCCTGGCTGGCTGATGTCCCAGATCTTCACGCAGCCCTTGCCTCCTGTGTAGACGTGGCGCGTGGGGTTGCTGATGGTCACTGCACACACCACCTCCCCGTGGCTGAGTGTGTTGATCTGCCGGGCGTGCCTGGGGATGCCAGGGCCTGCCAGGGCGTCGTGGGGGAAGGGCACAGGCTGCATCTGCCCATCGGCGCTCACATGGAAAGAGTAGGCTCTGAAAGGGGGAGAACCACGCTTCTGCCATCTCCAGTCCTCTAACAGTTTCCTGACTGGCCCTAACCCCTGCCTGGCCTGCCTGCCTTCAGGTATGCCCTGCCCTGATCTTAGGAAGCATGGTAACCCCAACCTCCTTGACCTGGCTCCACCAGGGCAGAGACAGCTTCACAGTCTTGCCTTGACTTCTGCCCCTGCTTATAGATCCTCGCTCCAAACCAGGCCACTGACCCCTCACTGCCTTGGAACACCCTTTCCCACCATCTATACAATCCCTAGCACTCTGACCCCAGAAGGACCCAGCTTGAATGCCACCCCTCCTCTAGGAGCCAGTAGCACTAGGGAAGAAAATCTGTTTGCCCCCCCAACCCTAAGTGAATCACAGGGTACACATCAGAGCCGGGGTGAGCCAGCGTGGCCTGCCTGCTGTCTCAGGTCACACGAGTGCCAGCTGCGGCTGGAACCACAGGAACCCCAGGGCAGGGAGGATCCATGGAATCTGGACGTGAAATGTTCCTCCCTTCTCAGAGCCCAGGGATCACAACCTCAAACCCAAACCTTCTCCTTCCTCTTTCAGAGGGAGCCTGGGGGCAATCAGGAGTGCATGCAGGCAGCCATCAATGGGACTGCAACCTGGCTCAGCGGTACCCCTAGAAGGGCAGACACGTTTCCCCAGGAGAGGTCCATCAGGGCAGGGGATGGGTGGGTGGGTGGTGTGCTCTCTGCCCTCCCCAACAAGCAGAAAATAAGTAGTCAAGGCTTACGGTTTTCCACCAGGAATGGAGGCGAGGCTTGAGGGCAGGCCTGTGGCCCGCATGGGGGGGTGAGGGTCAAAGCCAACCTGTAAGGCAAGACAAGGCCAGCCCTTAGCGAGGGGTGCCGCCCTCCGTCCCCCCACTACACAACGCCCCAGCCCCAGCTTCCTCCCCCACCATGTCCTGTCCCACCAGCACCACACAGCCTCTTCAGAGCCCGAGATGGCCGAGCAGAGCAGAGCCCCTTGTTCCAGCAACAACACAGGCCCGGCCCTCTCAGTAACAGCAGACACCCCTTGCTATAACACACTGACAGCCCCACGGGCCAAGCCCCTGCCTCGTGAAATCACCACGGGATTTCCCACCCCAGAGAGCCCAGAAAGACGGATGCCAGCCCCACTTCCTGCATGGAAAGGGGCAGCCCAGGGAGGCTCTGTTGGTTGGGGTCCCATGGCGACAAAAGGGTGGGGGGTGGGAATCAGGTCTGTGACCCCCAAGAGTGTTCTCTTCTGATTCCTCATGAACACTCTCCCCCAAGGCAGCTGCCTGGTCACTGGACCCAGAGGGCACCCTCTGCACGTAGGAAGGGTCTCTCTAACCCACTCCAACTCCCCCCCAACTCCTTTCCCAGCCCCTCCCCCCCAAAAAAGGAGCCAAAAGGTCTACGTACAGCTCCAAAGCTCACCATTGGCGATCGGCCATAGGCAGCAGCGGCGGCGGCCGCAGCCGCGCTCATCTGGGGCGGGATGTTGTGGAGGCCCGCGTAGGCGCTGGGGCTGGTGAGGGAGCCGTTCATCTCGTGGTGGCTCATCATGGCAAAGGGCGCGGCGTAGGAGCTGGTGATGGAGATGGGCGTGCGCAGGGCCGAGGCTGCAAGGAGGCGGACGTAAGCTGGGATGCACCACCAAGGGGAGAGGGCCCCACCCCTTTCATCCAGCAAAAGCCCAGGCCACCAGGCTGCCTCTGGCCCAGAAGCAATCTTTCCTGTGTTCTCAAGCTATCCACTCCAGGTAGTCCTGCTGGGCTGAGCTCACCTACCAGAGATCTCCACGTTCACATCCAAGAAAGTCTGAGGTGAGAGATGTGCCCGCCTTTTTTTATAGAGTAGGACTCAGAGTCCCAGAGAAGAGCGCTTTTCAGAATCTCACAGAACTAACAATAAAGGCAGACAGACACTGATGGTGTCCCGAGCTGTCTAAACCTCCTTCCACATGCTCATTTCAACAGTGGCCCCAGTTAAGCCTGACGTGAGTGTTGAAGCAGCAGGCATTCATCTTGGCGTCAAACCTGACCAAGTCCCACAGAGACAGGCCCTGGGACAGCCCTGAATCTGACTCCCTGCCTGGTGCCCTGGCCCATCTGTGCGGCTCCAGTCCTGGCCCGCACAAGCCCTCCCCTCAAGCACAGTCAGCTCAGCCCCATTGTGCCTACCCATTATACCTATCGGGTCCATGCCTGGAGGTTTGCCTGGCATTGACCGGAGCCCCGGGGTCGTGCTGGTGCCAGGAGTTGGGGCATCATTCCGCGGGGTTGGCGTGTTGGACTTGAGTCCAGGGGTGGAGGATTTGTCATTCTGCAAGGGGGAAACGCAGAGACCAAGGGAAGCTATGAAGATTGCTTTCTCCAAGAGCTGGGCACCGCATGAGGCCTAGTTCTCAAATCTTCTGCCACACAGCCCCTCCGTTCTTGCCCAGTCTTGTTTGGCAGGGACTGTACTCATTGTTCCCATTTTACAGATGCAGCAACTGAGGCTCAGAAACAGTAACTAAGCACAGGGTTCAGCCTGTAAGTGGTATAGGCAGGACATGAACCCAGGCCAAGCCCCAATCCATGTGCTTTCTGCTCCACCCCTTCACCTTCTCATCAGCAGCACTCCAGGTCCAGCCCCTTTCCCAGAACTTTTTCCCTCTGCCCCAACCCTCCCCAGCCCTCTCCTAGTCTCTGCGGTGCCAGGGGCAGACCCCACATACATGACCAAGGTCTTTGGTCTTGGAGGAGGGTGTGCTGCTGGAGGAGGCCACCGAGGCGGGGCTGGTGGGGGCATCCTTCTTCAGGCCACGGGCCTTGTCCAGCCCATTTTCAGGAGGGGAGTGTGCCGGGCTGACGCGGGGTGTCGCAGGGTCCTAAGGACACAAGTGAGGCAGAGATGTGCTAAGAGCTATGATGAGCCTGAGTCTTCTCTGGTCCCAAGTGGAGGTGACCGGCTCTTAACGACCTAATCTGACCCCCTTCTCGTCCCAGAGACGGGGAGACAGAGGACAGAGCGGATAGGTGCATAGGACCTGCTCAAGATCGAACATGAGATCAGGACTGCATGCTGGGCAGCTGGCCCTCTTGACTTCGTGTAGATCCCTTCCAGCTCCTCATTCCCAGCTGAGGCTGACCCACAGGGCTCACCACCCCAAGACCCCAGGGATGGTGGGGAGAATAGAGCTGACCTAGAGGACCAGGGGAGCCGGCCCTCCACTGGGATCTTCAGAGGTCTCTCTCTCTCTCTCTCTCTCTCTCTCTGGAGACCCATCCTAGGAACCCAGCGATGTGAACGACTCCCCAGCCACCAAGCAGCCAAGCCCTGTCTTCCTCCTCCTGACCAGCCTGATGTCCCCCATCCAAAGGCCTCAAACTCGCCTGGGGCTGCCGATAATGGTGCAACAGCCGAGACACAACAGCTCCCACCTGGGATAGGATCCACCTCCAACTCCCCACACAAAGAGCCGCCCTGCGACCGGGAACTGCCCTCACCTCATTGGAAACGTCCACCACTAGATCATCACTCTTGTCCCCGTCACTGTCCTGCATGGAGAGAGAAGCCAATGAGAGGCCACATCCACCCCAGACGGAGCCCAAACCATCCCACTTCCACCAGTCAAACCCCAAAGTCCACATTGTCCCCACTCAGACCCACCAGTGGCGGCCTCCTCTTTGCTGTTTGCTGGTGCAGCCTCCTGGCCCCGGGGTCATTCGGCTCTCACAGCCACTGGCAGCCTCACCCACACCTGCCCCATTATATTTCTAAGCTCCCTTTAACTTGTCCCTCTGGAGCCAGACACCTCTCTCCAGCTGGCCTGACATCCGCCATCATTTCTAAGTGCGCTGGTCTCATTCCCTCATGTCTGTCACAGTGTGGGAGGGGTGATTAGCCTCGTCTCCCAGAATCGCAGCTGAGGCTTTGGCTGAGTGGTATGCCCAAAGCCTCAGAGCAGCCAAGTGGCTGGACAAGGAGGGCTGGGCCCAAGGGCACTGGCTCCCACACCGCACTGGCCCCTGCCCTCTGCCCAGCCTGGCACAGAGCAGAAACCATGACCGCCTGCAGTGCTAAAGCATGAGGGAGGGCCCCTAGAGCAGACCACGGATTCTGGGGGGCCGTGATCATAGCACAGGGTTGCTGGCCCATCTAGGGAGGGGCCCCTAACTCTCCCCAGACCCCACAGAGCCCAGGAGGACCTCTCTGCTCACTCTCTGGCTGTGGCCCACATGCTCAGAGCGCGTGGATCTGTGCAGGCTTCCCATGCCCAGGCCACCTGCCCTCCCCCGGGGGCCACCTCTCTGCCCCCACCTGGACCAGGCCCCAGGGCGGAGGAGGGCTCCTCCTTCAGTCCGGCCGACCCCGCACAAACCCCCGTGGAGCCCCCAGACATACGTATCGGCTCAAACTGTCCTTCTCCTCTGCTTTCCGCTTCTTGGCTTCCATGCTGTAGTCTGCAGATCCCCGGTGCTTCTCACTGGCTCGCAGGCTTTCCGAGGGCGACACTGAGTTATTCTGCAAGCAAGGAGGAGACTTAGTGTGAACATCTTATTCGTGCATCCATATAGCTAAGTGGGGTGACCCGGAAGGTCAGCTGAGGTGTTGTGTGCGTCCTGTGGGCTTGGCTCCATCAGAGCCTCACCAGGGAGGGACGCCCTCCCAACTCCCCAGATTTGGTTCCTCTGGGAGAGGCCCTGAGAGCATGACAATTCTCTTTTGTAGCAATGCTGCTGCTGTTAGACAATTAACCTGGCACAAGCCGTTGGCCTCTGGCCTATGAATCTGTACGCTTCATGAAGGTGGGGGTTGCACCTATCTCCTCTTCCACCCATCTGGCCTCAAGGAATGGATAAGCTGAATTTGTACGGAGTTTTGAAGACGGATCTGAGCTGACAAACTGGGGCTATGCAGAATACTTCATCTGCTAAACCTGACAGGCAGGGGAACTGCCGGGTGCCAACAGGCCTCCGCAGTGTAGGTACGCAATGGGGCACTTTGTGTGAATGCCCTTCTGCGATGGCGTGGCCTCCCGCAACCTACAGAGAAACACCAGGGTTGCAATGAAGCAGAAAATACAACGGTATGAAGCCTCTCCCTCCGAAGATGGCAAAAGGCATACCAGGCAGGTAGAATTCCCCTCCCCTCTGTGACGATGGCCAAGTCCAGGCCCCGAGACAATGGGAAACGTGCCCAGGGTCCCCCAGCGGGAGGCAACTTGAAGAAAACCCAAGGTTTTTATGCCTGGAAAGGACTCAGGAGTTCTCCCTTCAACTACAAAGCAAGTGAGGATGAGAAGAGTTTGAAATTTAAGGCCTGGGAAAAGGGAAGGGAAGGTGGGCTAACAAGGTAAGACAGGAGAAACACCCGCCAGTGGGTCTGAGGATGGAGCGGCCTTGGAGGTTGAGGGCTTCTCTCAGAGAAGGACTCCAGTTGGTGGTACGATGGGTGACTAGGGACGACAGGCATCACGTGGCCTCCAACACCGGGCAGGGAGCAGGCAGGGAGGTGCGATGGGCACGAGTACCTGCCAGCAAACCTCTATGCCAAGGGAAAGATACCACAATCCCCTCTAGGGGACCACTGAGGTTTGTTCCTTCCTAAGAGACTACACTGGTGGCTCAGTGGTAAAGAATCCACCTGCTAATGCAGGAGACAGGTTCAACCCCTGGGTCAGAAAGATCCCTGGAGAAGGGAATGACAACCCATTCCAGTATTCTTGCCTGGAGAATCCCATGAAGGGGAGGAGCCAGGAAGCTATAGTCCATGGGGTCGCAAAAGAGTGGGACATGACTGAGCGACTAAACAATAATGCAACAGGAGACTGCACCACACCTTCCCCCGCATCACTCAGCACCCTCTTCTGTGCACCTGCCCTGGATCAGGCCTGGGGCTGCATGCAGGTGTGGATGAATGAACAAGATGCAGTCCCTGCCCCTCCAGCAGCTGACCACTCAGCTGGGGTGGGGCGGGGAGCAAAGTCCAGTCCATCCTCATCCCCGTGCCCTGGGGTGTGTGACAAGCCTACATGGGGACCTGCAGGGATGAGGAGGCGGCCCTCCAGAGACAGACAGAAAGTCTCCACACTTCCCCCAGAGCCAGGGGCTGGTGTTCTGGGGGGAGCGGTGCGGGAAGGAGCCGCAGAACTTCATTTCCTCCCCTAAGCCGGTTTCTGGGCAGCCCTTCCCTGCCAAGCTTCTGCCTGAAGCAAATTAAAATGGCAGAGTTATCAAGCCTTGAAGAAAATATGGAGGTTATAATGGAAGTGCAGCTTCAACCTTCCCTGCAGCTGGGCAGGCGCGGCAGTGGTGTGCGCACAGCCGCAATTCAATTAGCCGCGGCGAGCGCCGGCAGAAAAATCACCGTCATTTCATTTCATTTCCTCCGACGGCGGCCACCCCGTGCTAAGCAGAAAACGCTCCCAGCCCCTCTGCTCTCGCCTGGGGAGCGAGGAGGGGGGCGTGAGGCCGCTCCTGTTTCTCCCCGCGACCCAGGCCGCGGCTTGGAGAACAGCGGGTTCTTTCTTCTGCAGTCAGCTGCAAACCCTCGCTGCTACCGGAGGAGAGTCATGTCAGGCGTTTAGCGGCATCGATCCAGCCCGCCTCTGGCTGGCAGGCGGCCAAAAAACTAAGTATTTTTTATTGCTTCGGCTAGGCAAGGAAATATGAATGAAGCTACCTCTAATTGGACTCCAGACTAACCCCTCCGGGACAGCTTCCAGCCCGGCCAGTCGGCCCCCCTCCCACTCTGACACGGCCCTGTCTTTCCTGCCGGGGCCTCATCTGTTGACAACCTGGTTTCCAAAGGGCTTACGTTCGTTTCCACTTCCCCCCCTGCCGCCCCGCCCCGACACCACGGCTGCGCATACACATGTAAGCCCCTACCGCCTGCCCCCTGGGTGACCAGCCCACAGCCCTCCCAGCCAAGGACGGCGACCCCATTCATTTCCATCGAACTCTCCAGGGGCCCCTCTGCCCTGAGTCTCATCGTCGGCGAGCACTGTGAAGAGCCCAGATCTTGTGGGCTCCTCGTGGGATTCTTTAGCAGAAAGCATTCACAGAGAGGGCGCAAAGCCAAGGCCAAGAGAGATGAGGATGTGTGAAGGCAGTGAAGGGACTGGGCAGCCACTGCTCTCTGTGGCAAGTCCATGGTGAGCAGGTAAGCTGGGTGCTGGATCCTGTGCTAAGATCCTGGGTCCTGTGCTAAGTGGGGTCTTCCTAACTAAGCAGAGAGGCTGGCTGAGTAGGAATATTCCCATATTACAGATGGAGAAACTGAGGCCGGGAGAGGCCGAGACGGCTACCCAATGTCCCATGAAGCCGGGACCAGGCTGAGCCTTGAGGTGTCCAGCCCAGCCCTCTTCCTGTCTAGGCAAACTACCTCTCCAAAAAGGCCACCTCCTGGGATCAACACGAAAGCAATCAAAATGGATTTGCAGCTTCAGCTGTTTCTTTCTTATGCACCTAACCATTCCTGGGCCCAGATGACCTGGATTTCTGAGCACACGGGCCAGCGGAGAGGGGACGGACATGAGCGACTGCGGCTGATGGGAGGTTTAGAGTCAGCCCAGTGGAGGGCTGGGGAGGGGACGTGGGTCGAGATGGAGAAGCCACCCGAGGAAGCTGCTGTTTAGATGGTTAGTTAACTGCCTGACCTTCCAAGTCCTACTTAACACGAGGTAATAACCAAAGCCATCCTAACAGATTAGATGGCCCCAGATACAAGGACGGCGATGAGGAATAAAATAGCTTTGCTAATCGCTGGAGGATTTTTTTTATCCAGACTCCACTGCGCTTATTCAGAAGGCTTATTCACTTGAAACAGAACCTCTGAGACTCAGTGTGATCAGAAAGATTTACGGCAAATCTCAGAGCTGGCAGACACGCAGGCAGCCTGGCCTTAATGCTCGCTTGCTAGCACTTCTTAAACCAAGTTAAAGCCTGCAACAGGGAGAAACCTCAGGTGTTGGGAGGAAAGGAAGAGGATACAGGATCATATAGGAGATAGCCAACCTGGGGGACAGGGAGGCACTCCAGCCCCAAATGAGAGAGGGACACCAGGGTCCCGAGCTCTGGGGTCAGCCCCGTGACTCCACAACCCCCCTTGGAGGACCCAGGGCTGGCCGGCTGACCTCTCCAGTAATCACCTCTTATATAAAAAGGGGGTTAGTTACAGCTCACTTAGCCCAAATCTTCATTTGACAAATGATGGCCCTAAAGCCTAGAGAGATAAAAGCTTGCCCAAGCAAAGGTCAATCAACAGGTGACAACAGCTCTTATTTCATGACAATACCTGCCCCTCCCAGGAGCCGACACAGGGTAACCCCTCTTCCCAGCACCCCAAACGCACCCAACAGGCCCCAGAGTGCCAGCACTTACCGCACTGGATTCTCTCTCTTCGGGGACAGAAGGCCAGGAAAGGAGGAGGGTCAGGTCCCACAACACAGAGAAACAAAAAGAAAGCAAGGTCAGTCTCATCCAGCTGGCTTTATGCTTTGCTAGCTCACGGGTTTTAAAATGGGCAGTGGCCTGGCTCTCTTGAGTCACCCCGGGTCAGCCAAGGCAGGGCCATTAGGTGACGTCTCTCAGTTTGGAAATTAACCGCCCCAATTCCATCGCTGTGCCGGGCCACCAGGCCTGGGTGGGGCTGCAGGGGGCTCTGTGGCCTAGCACTCCCTGCCATGCTGAGAAGGGTGCCAAGATTACTGGTCAGCAGTTTTTAAAGCCACAAGCTTAGGAAGTATCGTGCTATGTAAAATATCTATAGGATCTGAGAGTTGAGAACATTTTTTTTTTTAATTAATTATGGGAGTGGTTTTTTGGTATGGTGTTTTTTTAAAATTATCACCCTTCTCTTTCTTTGCCAAGAAGCCCCTGGAAGCAGAGACCTCTGGTTTTCTGCCCAGTCAAGCACTAGCTCCCTGATCTTCCTGTCTGCTGCAGACAGGCCCTCTTCCTCTGCCAGGAGGATCATCCTAAAGCAGAGACAAAAATCTTAAGTCTCAGTTCCCAGGACCTGCTACCACTCTCCCCAGTCCTGGCCTGGGCAGGATGGTGACACTCCAAAGCCCCAGTGCCCATAAGGCATTGGCATGTGCCCCAGTAAATATCTAAGCATAAATCAAACCATCACATGGTACACCTTAAATGCGATGTTATGCGTCAATTGCGTATCAATAAAGCTAGAAAAAAAATATGAGGGCAGACCACACAAAGTGGTCCTATTTGCAAAGGGTCTGCTAGGAAGCCAGGCCCTTTCCCATCTCGATAAAACGAAGCCGTCCTGATGCCCTAAGCTTCCTTGTGGGAAGGGCTGAGTGAAGGGTGGGGGGGTGTTCTTATTCCCCATCTTCCTAATCTTCTCCCTGCAGCAGCACCAGCACCGTCTGTATGTAGTGTATAGCCCCCTAAGAAGTCTTTACTTGAGAGTCAACTGGGTACCTTCTCCAAGGACCCTCTATGGGTGAAACACCTGGGAACTTGGCCTCAGTCCTCAGAGGGCTAATGATCTCTGTGAGGATAAGACGTTTTCCAGGGAAGGATAGATGATGATGGCAACAGAGGTCTTGGGACTCCCAACTCTTAAACTCCTCTGGGAATTTGAAAAAACCCTCGGCTTGGCCAGGAGGGCCGCCTGAAGGAATGGGGCTGGGGCTCACCCTTGGAGAGTGGGCAGGATGTAGCTAGGAAGATGGGAAGGTACTCCAGGAAGAAAGGACCAGATGTCTTCCAGGGCAGAGAAGAGTGGGTACACTTCAGGGATTGGGGCGGGGTGGGCCTGGGGGATGGGGCTCTGGTTTCCATGCACCAGGAACTTCACTGATGGATGGCTCCAAGGCGTGCTAAGTCCTGGTCCAAGGGTGACAGCATTCACTGTGTCTGCCCACAGCAGGGCCTTTAGAGCCTCTGCCCACACCCCAGCCCCGCCCCGGCCCCGGCCCCAGGTCGCACCTCTGTGGTCCAGCTCATGGTGGTTCTTCTCGTCCTTCACTGACAGGTGGGCCTGGCTGCCCAACGCGCCAAGCGCCAGCAGCCCTGAGCTGCTCCCCGTCACTGGGGGGATCCCTGGAGGCTGGAGGCCTGACGGGTGGGGTGGCAGCTGGACCGGGGGGCCATGTGTGGCATGGGAGAGGTGCTGCGCCTGGAGCTGCTGTTGCTGCAATGAAGCGGGTGGTGAGCACGGCCGAGCCAGGAGGGCGGCCAAGGCCCGGGCCCTCTCGCTCCTCCAGGAGGCAGCAGGGGAATGCGCACCGCCCCCCCCAGCCCACCCCAAAGCTTCATCCCCAGCTCAGGCCACATGCTGTCATGCTGGAGGAAGTCTGTTAATGGACTGCAATTTAGACACAAGATTTATGATGGCAAACACCACCTCCTCCCCCAACCAGGACAGAATTTCTCAATGTATGATTCCCAGCCCAAGATAAATAAAGCATGCATTTAAAAACCACAGTCATCAGGGCTCCCTCTCTGTGGAGGGCGATCCACTTTTAAGCTCCTAGCGGTCACAGTTTTGCTCATGCTCACATGCCTGCAAACGTCAGCAGTCAGCGTCTCCCACCCTTAACCCCAACCCTGGGGAAGACTCCCTAATTCTGAGAATTCCACTCCTGCCTTGCAGAGCAAGAGCAGCACATAGCAGAAGAGCCCTGGGATCAAGAAGAGTTTGGGGCCAGAGGAATGAGAACCCACATCACTCAACAGGACAGCAGAGCACAGGGTGAGAAGAGGGGGGCTTTGGAATTAAGACAGATCTGGATTCAAACCCCAGCCCTGGCACTTACTAGCTGGGTGACCTCAGGTAGGTCACTACTCTTAACAATAGCGAACGTTTACCAGAGGGCTTTCCATGGGCCCCCTTCTCCCCTACTTCCCCAAATCTAGAAATGTATTAATGTAGTTATTATCATCAATAGATGGAGAAGGAAAAGGCAGCCCACGCCAGTATTCTTGCCCGGAAAATCCCATGGACAGAGGAGCCTGGAGGGCTATAGTCCATGGGGCCCCAGAGTCAGGCACGACTGAGCACGTACCACGACGACTACCATCAATAGCAAGGACAATAATCCCTAAGCAAGGATTCTGCTCCGGGGATGTCCCAAACACCTCACTCGAGCACTGGTCTCAGAGTCTTCTTTTCCCCTCGTCCCCTTGTTCTCCCCCAGCAGGCAAAACAAAACACCTTTATCAATCTTAAGACTATGTCAAGAACCATGGGCACCGTGCTGCTGACTATACCATGACCAAATATTTCATAGATTGAAACACTTCTTAGGAATGACTGGGGCCTAGGGTTAAACATACGTCTTTCTCTCAACAAGCACGAGGGGAGGGAATGGAAATTTACTGAATGCCTGAATGAATGCCTGGGCCCTTTCCAAATATTATCTCTGACCCTTTCAACTACATGGCAGAAGGACTGTGCCCACTTTAAAGATGGTGAACTGGTACTTAGGGGCTGGAATAGGGTCAACTACCAACATCATCCAAAGAATGCTCCTAAGGAGACCCCCCGCCCCAGAGCACGAAGAGTTTATGGGGGTGACAGACAGCCAAACCCTGACAAGCTCACCTGTCAATGTGAACCGTGGCTCTCTGGCCACTGCTGACAGACAACAAAATAGAGTGAAGGCCCAGAGTTCTGGATGGACATGTGGCTCCAAGAGGCAACAAGTGTATTTGAGATCAGGGATTAAGAGCTTCCTAAATGGCTTATCAAGTAAAGAATCTGCCTGCAATGCAGGAGACACAGGACACTTGGGTTCAGTTCCTGGGTTAGGAAGATCCCCTGGTGGAGGAAATGGCACCCCACTCCAGTATTCTCACCAGGAGAACCCCCTGGACAGAGAAGCCTGGTGGGCTACAGCTCATGGGATCGCAAAGAGTTGGACACGACTGATGTCTGAGCACAGAGCACACATTAAGAGACCTGCTCTTCCTCAACTAAACTGCGAACTGCCAACCTCATGCACCCCCAAATTCATGATCCCCACTTTGCACATGAGGAAACTGATGTACTACACTCCTAGCCCTGCAGGGCTCATTTTTCAGTTTAGGGGGAAAAGGCTGCGACCACAGCCATCGCTCAAGGCCTGGGACATCTCTTGGTGGGAAGTTTATGGAAGCTGCTGGTCCGGGTTGCAGCCTGACCCTCAGATCTGCCCTGAGACGCCGGGCAGAAACAAAGTGGAGCTGTCTATCCTAAAGCCATCCACCTCCCAGAGGCAAGGCCCACGGAGATGCAGCTGGAACAGTTAGTTGGGACGAGGAACATCAGTGGGGCATCCTGCTTCCTGAAAGGTGAACCAGTGAACCAGCACCAGAAACTTGGAACACAGTCTATAATTGCAATTACAGTGGCTGTATGAAGACACTGGCTTTCAAAGTTGTTTAGCCTCCAAGAGGGACAGGGTGGTTTTCTGCAGTGGCCCATGAAGCAGGTGTGTCTTCTTTGCAACAGAGGAAAGGCAGCTTCCATGTACTTCTCATCTTCAAGCACAAGCGCAGGACCCCCTACACAGCCAGAAATTCCCCCGAGGTCTGCTCTGGATGGATGGAAGGCATGGTCAGGAGCAGTCCAGCAGGCTCCAGGAGGCAAGGACAGACAGCCGACCTCCCAGGCTTCTCTCTCAGGGAGAGGACAGATGCCAGGGCTTGTCGGGTCAAGGGTCTGCTGACAAGCATCCTGGTTTTGACAGAGAGTGAGAAAAAAACCTCCTCGGCAGCGGGGCAGCTGGCAGTGTTCCACCTGTCTCTCCATCCCCGTGTCGCAGGAAGGGCACAGCCATCCTCAGGCTGCATTCCTGGCCCCATGACACATATCTGACCTCAGAGGACAAGGGGAGGAAACACAGCGACATCCGAGTGGGAAGGTGACAGGGTTTTCAACTGGGGAGAAATGGGATGGAGTCCCCCACCCGAGGAGGTGCTGGGCTCAACTCTGCAGCAGCCCGTCTCCAGCTTCCACTGTCCCCTCCAAGACCAGGATCTCTGTGTCCACGAAGTGAAAGGAAGTCAACAATCCCCCTCAAACCCCCAAACAGGGGGCAAGGCCCCTGGTGAGCGCCCCGCCTCTTGCCTTTCACAGTTCATGCCAGAACAGCAGCGTGTCAGAGAACACGTCCTGGGGGCAGACGTGTGTCCCTGTCCTCCTCATGGGTGCCAAGTGCCCAGGTCCTGGGCTGACACGAACATATGACCACTCACTCGCAGGGGAAGCGGACGGGGAGGCCCTTGCTGGCCAAGTCTGTGTAACTGGACTATGCACATCATGCTTCATGCCTCTGCTACCTGATTTAATGCTTCGCTTCTCAGGCTCATGATCTGCGTTAAACCCAGTGAAGTGGTCTAAGGCTTTGCAGGGCCGAGACCCACTGAGGATGTCCTAGCTGTGTAAGATGGAGACGCCTCGCCTCCAGGGGAGAGGAGGGCAGCCCCGACCTCTGCCTGGTCCCTCTACTTCCTGCCCACACAAGCGGCCCCCCAGCTCCAGGCGGAATCGTGCCTCTGTGCTATGCTACAGCTCGGGGGGGCTTACAACAACGCTGTTCCTCCATTTGAGAGACAGGGACAGGCTCAGGGGGATGAAACGACTCTGCTAAGCCAAAGAGACCAGACCCAGGGCTGAAACCCAGCCTGACTTTTCTCTACCATGGCCCCCAGCTGACAGAAATGGATGCATTCATTCTAAGGTACCCTTTCTGCGTCATCCGTCCCCCTGTCAACTGAACCCAGCTCATCAGCATTGCGGAGGGAATGCGAGAACCCCAGGACTGGCTTCAGCACACTCTGCAATTTGTGACAAGCTACAACCTACCTCTTCCTCATCCCTAACTAACCTGAAAAAAAAAAAAGTAACCACCAACAAGGACCCACTGTATAGCACAGGGATCGCCACTCAACATGCTATAACCTAAATGGGAAAAGAATTCAAAGAATAGATAGATGTATATGTATAACCAAATCACTGCTATACACCTGAAACGAAGACAAAGTTGTAAATCAACTATACTCCAGTACAAAAATAAAGCTATCAACACTTAGTAACATCTCTTCCACTAATAATTTTCTAGGGAATACAGCCCAAACTGTCAGTGGGCAAGTGGGGTGAGTTGGCCACTTGACGCAAAGAGCCAACTCATTGGAAAAGACCCTGATGCCGAGAAAGATTGAGGGCAAGATAAGGGGGTGGCAGAGGATGACATGTTTAGATAACACCACTGACTCAATGGACATGAATCTGAGCAAACTCCGGGAGATAGTGAAGCACAGAGAAGCCTGGTGTGCTGCAGTCCATGGGTTTGCAGAGTCGGACATGACTGAGCAACCGGATAACAGCAAGTGGGGTGAGCGCTGCTCCACCTGCCAGGTTCAGTGACCCTGAGCCAGCGTGGAGCAAACTGAAACGCGAGCTCTGGAAGTGGTGGGCACCATCAGCTCACTGTCTAATCTGCCTAGGGAGAACTTTTGCACGTTGCTGACCAAGGAACAAAACTCTGCCCCCGGCCACCATGCTCAGGAGTCTTTTGACTGTGTAAGGATCCCCTAATAACCTGGATCCAAGAAGAGAGGGTGTGGATCACGTCTGCAGTAACAGGGTTTTGTAGGCCCTCCACGAGCACAAACACACCTTCAGGCCTGCCTTCCCCAGATGGACATGAGTTCCCAGTGGCCCTGCAGACCAGCAAGCCTGGGCCTTCGTTAGTCCCTCCATCCCCTCTCACCTCACACCAAGTTGATGCTAGACCCTGGCCTCTCTCACCTGGAGGGGAGACCCTAGAAATCCTCTAACCTGTATGATAAACACGCCCCCCACTGCAGACACGCCAGTGATCAGGCACGCTGGATACCCGATCTCTCACCTCTCTCTGACATAAGCCAAGGTGCGAAGGCAGAATCCTTTCACGCCCTGCCCAAGAGAGCCCCAGATGACTGACTGAAGCGGGCACATCATCCAACACTTGCCCAGCCCTTCACCTTTCCACAACAGGCCTGGAGGAACTAGGTGACTTGCCCGAGGTCCCCCAGCTCCCAGACCAGGAGGCTGGGCCACCCTCCCCGCCGAGGGGCAAACCCAGCTGCCATGGGGCAGGCACCAGCTGCTGTCCGGGCCTCCTGGGCCCTCCCTCCACTGCCCTTTACCGCGGGGCCGGACTCCAGGCCCCTCACCCCCTTCCTCCCCATCACTTTCCTGAGTCAGCCGGCCACAAGCCCGCTCTCCCGCTCCCTCCTTCACGGGATGCCCCGGCTGGAGAGAGCCTGTCCATAATTCCGGCCTTGTGAGGTTCTGTCAAGCGCAGCGATTAGACGACTGCCTGCTTAATGACAGGGCGACGGCTACGTTCACTCAGAGCTGGAGAAGCAATTACCTCGAAAATGGGGGTCACAGGCCCCACTCGTTGGCTTTAATTGAATTCCAATACCTGCCTCGAGCTGCCTTGACCTAACGCGTAGCTTCCTAAATACTCCCTTGAAGGAAGCAGAGCTAATCCAAGCAGTGCTGCTTCTCTCCAATTCCACTCTTTTCTTAGAACTTTAAAAAAAAAAAAAAAAAACTACTTTCATAAGAGGATTTTAATTCCAAAGGGGGAGGCGGTGGGGGGGAAGAGGCAACCCCACTGTGGCCATGGCAGGGGTAGGAGAGCTGGGCCTGCAATATGGATGGGGGCGAGGGGCTGGGAGAGGAGAAACTTCAGAGAAGGCAGCTGCCACCCTGTGCCCTTGTCCTCCACTCTCGGCACAGCCATCAGCTGTGACCTGGCCACCGAGGAGGTGGACGCTGGCCCCACACCAGGGCTGGACTGGACAGGAGGTGGCGGGGGAGGAGCCCTGAGCCCAAACCCATTCTGGGGCGTCTGGCCTGCCTTTGCTCCTGAACCCTGTGTGACTGGCTGTCCATGAGGCACTCCCAAACCTCCACAAAGCAAGGGCATCAGCTGATTCAGCGGTTCTCCACCTCGGGCCCTTTCATGTACTGCCCCCGGTCCCCCACTGGGACATTTTGCAATGTCTGGGAAACATTGTGGGGTGTCACAACTGTGTGTGGAAGTCACCAGCATCCAGTGGGTGGAGACCAGGGCTGCTGCTGAACACCCTCCCGTGCATCCTCACAAACCATCCGGCCTCAAAGTTCATGAGCCTAGAGGCTGCAGGACCCTGGGCTGGGTGGTCTCCGAGGAGACCTCAAACTGTACAATATTATGGTTTCCTTGCTGGGGACTCCACCTCCCAGATCACTGGCTAGAAGGAGTTACCACTCACTCATGTCTTCCTTCCTGGCCTCCAGGTGAGGGTCTGCCCCTCCCCCAGCACTGCCAGGATTCAGACCAGGCTAACGCTCCCCCGCCCAGCCCCCTGCAGGCAACTCAGACCAGAAGGACGGAACCCCATAACCATTACGAGTCCCACTGACATGACGAAGGGTGAAGATCTACCAGCATCACCCTGTCACTCCGACTCTGCCCTCCCAGCAGTCCTGGCCCAAAGAGATGAGCTGGTCTACCCCTCTCCTCTAACAGACACAGAAACTAGGGTGTGAAGAAAAGACAGGATCTGCCTGAGGTCCCACGGGGAAGAAATGGAACTAGCACAGAGGGCCCCAGGTTTCCCCCCAGAATCAAGAGCCCAGAGACAGCATTCATCCCACCAAGCCAGAACATTCTGCACCTTTAGTTCTACCTTGAAATAATGACCGTACTTAAGGACAAGAAGAGGAGTGAAGACCAATCAAAGGGCTAGAGAGACCCCAGCCAACCAGTCCACCACTTCCCAAGCCGGACTATGGTGCAGAATGATCTGGAGAAACACAGATTCCCAGTCCCACCCCAGACTGACGGAAAAGACTTCTGAGGGGCGGTACCCTGGAATGTATATTGTGCTGAAGTCCCTTTGGGGACCCACACTCAGTAAGGGAGACCTGGCCAGGGGTCCGTGATGGATGCTCAGCCAGGCAGCTCAGCGCATGGGACAGGAAGGCCCAGACCCGAATGCCACAGCACGCTTCACAGCACAGAACAGCAGAGACACTTCTGACCTCAGGAGGCCAAAGAAGGGCAGATCTTTGCCAGGGAAGGGACAGGCCCCCCCAGGGAGGTGGGAGAAATCAGGCTGGCCTCCAAGGTGATCCCGGAGCCCTCCACCCCTCCTTTGTTGGAGACACCAAAAGGCAGGGTAGGATGGGGCTGATGAATTTAGAGGTGGATTGGGGTGTGTCAGATACCCCTCAAGGGCTGACAGGCAACTGGGGAGCCACTGGAGAAGATATCCAGGTGGGTCCAATCCCATGAGATGCGGGGGGCACTGGAGCCCTGGGGCCGCCATTCTTTGAGGCCAGCTGAGGTCAGGGTCTGTCTCTGGTTATGGTAAATGAGAGGAATAAAAGGGCTATACACACGGTGAGAGGCAGATTGGGGAGTCCACGTACCCCGATGATGGCGTTCAGCTCTGTCATGGTGACCTGCTTGGCGCGCTCCACCGCCTGCGCCACTTGCTGCTGGTGCTGGGGGAGCAAGGCCTGGTCAGAGGTGGGGCCTCCCTGCCCAGGAGGCACAGGGGCGGGGGGTCACACAGGGCACAGTCCTATAGGAGGGCCACAGTCCTGTAGGAGGGCCACAGTCCTAACAGGAGGATCACAGTCCTATAAGAGATCCACAGTCCTATAGGAGGGTCACAGTCCTAACAGGAGGGTCACAGTCCTATAGGAGGGTCACAGTCCTAACAGGAGGGCCACAGTCCTAACAGGAGGGTCACAGTCCTAACAGGAGGGTCACAGTCCTATAGGAGGGTCACAGTCCTAACAGGAGGGCCACAGTCCTAACAGGAGGGCCACAGTCCTATAGGAGGGTCACAGTCCTATAGGAGGGTCACAGTCCTAACAGGAGGGTCACAGTCCTAACAGGAGGGTCACAGTCCTGTAGGAGGGTCACAGTCCTGTAGGAGGGTCACAGTTCTAACGGGAGGGCCACAGTCTAAGGACTGTGGAGGCAGACCAGGGCCACTAACCAAAACAGGACACGGGGGATGGGGAACCCTTTAAACCCTCTTCAATGAGCATGTACGCTAGAGAAGGTTGTGTAAAGCCCCAGGTTGTCGACTTCTGTCCACATGAACGGATGGACAGGGGCCGCTCTGGCAAGGCACAGAAGACAATGCAAAAGAAGGTCTTACCTCTTGTGACAGGAAAGGCATGATCTGTGCTAAGATCGTGTTCAGCCTCTTCGCAATCTCTGTCTGCAAAGGGAAAGAGGCTGCGTGAGGCTCAGGCAAATAAATCAAGTTGCCGAAATGTCAGACTGTGGAAGGGCAACCCCCCGCCAAACCACAGGCCCTTGACAGGCTCCGTCCTTCCACCCTCTATGGACCTCCTGCCAGGAGGCCTCGCGGAATCCACAGCGTGCAGCAATTCCTTCCAACTCCCTCCAACCAACCCAATTTCCAGGAGCTCCAATTTCCTATCAGAGGTGGTCTGTGTGTTTGGTTCAGAGTATACAGTTTGCCTCCTCTGGAATGGAAACCCTAACCAAAACAATGCAAAGCTAAACAAGAACAACCCCCACACCACCCACTGCAGCGAAACCTTTCGTAAGAGCGGACACAGCGCGATGAGAAGGAATTGCTATGCCCAGGGGCTCCATGGGCAACTGCAATTCCGACTCTCAGACTCCCAGACACATTCAGGAGGTGGGGGAAGACCCCCGGATGAATGTGCCAAGTGTTCCCTGGGGCCAGTCTCATGCCTAGTGATGTGCAGCTGAGAGGGTTTCCCTCACCCCCACTTTCCACCGCTGCCTCTCCCCCAGCAGACCAATCCCTCACCCTTCTAGTGCTGTCCAGCCGGAAATCCCACCATCCTTCTGGGGAGATCAAGCCTTGCCTTCTCAAAGATGCTGCTCAGGACGTAACTATTGGAACCCTAGCCTTTCATCTAAGTTGACCACAGAAAGACAGATCAATTCTCTGCACCACCCCTAACACTCCAGAAAAGATCACATTCAGAAAAACATCAACTGGGGACTTCCCTAGTGGTGGTCTGGTGGCTAAGACTCTGCGCTCAAAATACAAGGGGCCCAAGTTCAGTCTCTGGTCAGGGAACTAGATCCCACATGAGGCAATGAAGACTGAAGATTCTGCATGTTGCAACTAACATCCGGCATGGCCAAAAAATAAATATTAAAAAAATTAAAAAGAAGAAAGAAAAACATCAACTGTTTTTGCCATCCATGTTCTATGTGAGGCATCTCAAATGAAGACTGGTTTAAAAAAAAAGAAAAAAATGAGTGGGGCTAAATGGTTAACAGTCCAGACTGGAAGGCTGAGGACCACTGACAGACAAGTCTCAGAATTGCTTCTCTTATCTCATTCTGAATCCCAAGGCTGCCAGGACTGAGGTCCCAGAGCTGGCTTCAGAGCTCTCATCAGCACATAGCAATCTTTCAGAGACAAAACCATGACAACAGCCTTTAAAAATCTCTGATCATCTGCATGTCAAATGACTCCGGATGAGAAATCCTTGTGCATTTAAAGTAAAAGCAATGCTGTCTGAAGGCTTACAAGCAGACCCTGGCCCTAAGGAGAGTTCATGGGGCCAGCACCCCTACCTACCCCAACCCGTCCCCAGCCACTGATGAAGATGCCCCAGGTTGGTGAAGAAATGGGTCTCAGACTAGGAATCTGTGGGCTTTTGTGGGCCCACGTCCCGGGGCTGCTGGCTACAGTGCAGGTTCCAACAGAGACCTCTTGTCCAGAGCATCAGGGGCTCCTGGGTGGGGATCACAGATCACAGCTCTCTCCTGGAACACTTTAGATTGGGCACTGGGGGTAAAGCAAGTCTTTGGTGCGAAAGACTGTCCCTCATATCCTGGACCAACCAGTGCCAATAATGGTCCCGTTTCCAAACTTATCCTTGGCTGAGTTCCAAGGGACTAACAGCCGTATCTGTACCTTTGGGTACAGATCTTTACTTCAGCAAAGACACTGTACAGTAGGGTTTGTCACAGCATCAGTGCTATCCACATAAGTGCTCAGTTGTGTCTGACTCTTTGCGGCCCCATGGATTATAGCCTGTCAGGCTCCTCTTGTTCACAGGATTTCCCAGGCAAGAATACTGGAGTGGGTTGCCATTTGATCTTCCCAACCCAGGGATCGAACCTGAGTCTCCTGCATTGCAGGTGGATTCTTCACCACTGAGCCACTTGAGAAGCCCTGCTATACACATTTGGGGCTAAATAAAATTCTGCTGGGTGGGGCTATTCCAGGCATTGTAGAGTTTTTAGCAGCATCCCTGGCCTCCTCCCACTAGATGCCCATCATTCATACTCATAAGGCTCCTGGGACGATTACCAACTATTGTATAAATTATTAATCTCAGTAAGTGGAAAGAGTTCTAGTCCAAAACAGGGTCCCTTCTCATTTCTTTTCACTTTTTCTTCTCCCACATTGATTGATAGTGGAAAAGGGAGATGAAATATAAGAGTCAGAATTGTGTATGTCAGGAATTCTAGAAACAATCAGCTCAGTCCAAACCTGTATAGAACAACATAAACACTCACCTGTCACATGTTTATGTGACAAATAAGACTAGAAAGTTTTATTTAAAACACAAAGCAAAGAGAAATAAAATAAATCATCCTTACCAATGAGCTTAGGGAGCTCACTGGTCCAATGTCTCTTACCTCAAATGACTGGCATAGCAGGGACTGGTACATGATCGATGCCCAGTAAAATCTAGAGACAATAAGAATCTCACTGGTTTCCCTGCATGTGTGTTTCAAGACTTCATATTACAGTGTCCTCTGGCTGGGGATGTGGGCCTGCTTCAGTGTGGGCAGAATTGGGGGGAGGGGCAGTGGTGGACAAAGTGCTGACCTACAACCAGGAGGTGGGGTGGGCAGCAGCTCAAGCAGTGGTCAAGAACCAGAGCAGTCACAAGGCACCCAGTGGGTCCTTAGCTGTTGCCCGCTCCTCAGCCAGGAAGGCAGCCGGCAGACTCTGAACCTTCCCCGTCACTCTGGCCTACCCAATAACTACAGGTCTTACCATCTTTGGGGTGGGTGGTTATCAAGGAGTCCTGTGTGTGCATGATCAGGTGCTTTAGTCATGCCCGGCTCTTTGTGACACTTTGGATGGTAGCCCACCAGGCTCCTCTCTCTGTCCATCGGATTCTCCAGGCAAGAATACTGGAGTGGGTTGCCATGCCCTCCCCCAGGGGATCTTCCCCGACCCAGGGATCGAACCTAGGTCTCCACCATCTCCTGCATCAGCAGGCAGGTGCTTTATACTGTCGCCACCTGGGAAGCCCATAAATGAGTCCTAGCTGTTGCTTACTTCCTCTAGCAAACAGGTCAAGTGTCAAGATTTTGGTAGCTAAAGGGACAAAGTGAGAAGTAGCCAACCTTCCCCTTCTCCGCATCTTTTAGCAAACATGTGGCCACAGGCTGCCTCCAGGTGGAAATCTTCCCCTGCAGGGCCTGATCCAGAGCCCAGCATCATCTGGTTATGAGGAACAACCTGCCGGGATTCGTGTCGCTCTATCTGGTTCCAGGCTTGGCCTCCAGGCTACAAGGTGACCATGGTTGGGTCACTCAGAGCAAGTCCCCTCTCATCTCTCCTTTCTACCATGGGGAACAGTTCTTGCCTCCCAACCCCACCCACAAGTCAACCAAGAGTCAGCGGAACAAGATACGGAATGTTCCAGAGGCTTGGGATATCAGCCTTCAGGCTCCCTCCTGGGGTCCAGAGTCAGTGAAGAGCAGCTTCTCTGAGAGGCAGAAAGGACTCTGGCCCATCACGGGTCAGGGCTATAGAGGGTTGGGGGGTAGGGGAGGGAGGTGGTGTCACCCTTGGTCCCTGTTCTTGGGTCTGGGGATTTTTTTTCCTGGGGGGAAGTGGGGGTGGAGAAAGCATGTAAATCCCATCCCTCCCAGCTGAGACTGTCCCCTGCCATGGGCGGCACCGCCCTCCTAGTCTCTCCACCACATGGAAGCAGGAATTGAGCCTTGGTTATCTCTAAACCGGTGGCTCAGTGGTAAAGAATCCTCCTGCAACGCAGGACACAAGGGAGAAGTGGGTTCCACTGCTGGGTTGGGAAGATCCCGAGGAGAAGGCAATGGCACCCCACTCCAGTACCCTTGCCTGGAAAATCCCATGGATGGAGGAGCCTGGTGGGCTGCAGTCCACACCGTCGCTAAGAGTCGGACACGACTGAGCGACTTCACTTTCACTTTTCACTCTCATGCATTGGAGAAGGAAATGGCAACCCACTCCAGTGTTCTTGCCTGGAGAATCCCAGGGACGGCGGAGCCTGGTGGGCTGACGTCTATGGGGTCGCAGAGAGTCGGACATGACTGAAGCGACTCAGCAGCAGCAGCAGCCAGTATTCTTGCCTGGGAAATCCCATGGACAGAGGAGCCTGGCAGCTACAATCCACGGGGTTGCAAAGAGTCAGACACGACTGGGCAGCTAAGCACACAGACCAATCCAAACCTGAGTTCAGCATACACCAGAGGGTCAAAGAATGAACAGGCAAACTGTTCCCTAAACGACTTTAATTTTTTAATGTTTATTTTTTGAGGGTGGTGACTGAGGATGGGAAGCCCTGCAATAGAAAGTTGGCCTGACAGAACCACTCTTAACAGCAATAATAATAATAGCTAACATCCACAGATCCAGCTGTTCTGAGCATTTTACATGTGTGAGCTCACAAGAACCCTATAGGGAAGGCACTTTCTATAAATCTCCAGTTTTCAGATGGAGAAACTGACGCCTGGCAATTAAGCAACTTCACTAAACGACTTCCTACCAAGAAGCCAAATTTCGACATTTTGAGAGAGCTCAGAGAAGCATTTTTGAAAGAAAAACTACTGTCAGGGTTAATAATTGACAGCATTTCCGATTAGAACAGCTGTTAAAACAGCATTTGATCCAATTCAAACAAGCTCTACACATCACTTCCAAGAAAGGAAAGAAAAAAAGAATCAAGACGTGTGACTTCAACAATCAGGACAGGTCACAAATCACAAATTGGAACTAGAGCCTATGTTGGAAAACTCCTTCTGGCAATGCTAGGCATCCCGTTATCAATATGGCAGCTGGGGCTCGCAGGGTAGACCTCCACCTTCTTCCTCCATCTCGGCCTCAGCAAAGCCACAGCCTTTGAGTCAGAGCCTTGGAGGAAACCTGGAGGGAGGCGAGTGCCAGGCAGCCAGAGGATGGTTTCCTTTGGAAAAAGGTGT